CATTCAACAAAATCAATAGTCACCATGAGGTTTTGGTGTCACTCCCATATGTACCCTCACAACTGTTTCTTTGTGTGAGAATGACATTGCGAACAGATGTATTTCTTTCTACTTCCAAGTTCCTGCTTGGAACTTATTATTATTCACACACGCAAAATACTTTGTGTGTACAACTGGAAGCAAAACATCGCACCTACATTTTGTAGCTAACCCTTCCCCTTAACTTCAGTTTTATTATTACTGTGGCTTAATTTTCATTGTTATGGGTTTTGCACCTGCTAGTTATGAAAACCAACAGGACACATAGAGCAAGAAATACAAGCAGTCAGATGATTAGGTTGTTAACCTCCAGATTAGTTCAACTAATATGGATGAGAAGATATTGGTGAAGTGTAATTTTGTAGATTCTAATCTTTTGGACCATGTGTTGGCATGTCAGCAGATACTATAGTGATACAGTGAGATCTTGAGCTAAGCAAGACCTTTGGCTTTTTATTAAGAAGACAGACATTTTCAAACACAGTTGTTCATCTCCCATACTGATGATTGTATGACAGATCCAGTAGTGCCAGTCTTTTGCCTTTGTCTACTGTATATAGTAAATGTAAAATGAACAGGACTTCAGGACCCTGGACTCTGTAATAACTTGTGACAGCCCTGTGGGAGAGGGAATGGCTGGTTGAGGAACACAGACTTAATAGTTTGTCATAAATCAATTTCTGTAATACAGTACATTGATTCTTATTATTATAACACTGACTGTAATGACTTATAGAGCCTGTTGCACATACCTGTGTAAGTGGATTCACGAAAGGGAAATCTTGAGAGGTCTGTGGGTGTGTACATTAGTTTTTGCATTAGAGCCTAGCATTGCTCATATTAAGCAGTTAGCATAGCTAGGGATGACAAGGGCTGAGGCACATCCAGCACATCAGCACAGTCAGAGCAGCAGAGATGTAAATCCTCCAGAAGCTTCTGAAATGTATGCATTTAGGCATTTAGACACCTGTTTGTATCATAAATAGCTAAATGTTAGGTGAATGAGAAGCTCCTTTAAGCCATCAAAGCATAATTTGTGAAGAGAAGCAGACATCATTTGTGATGTGAAATATTCACTAATGGCTCTGTCCTGGCCCCATCTCCCCTGTCCCCAGAGTCACAGAGGTAAACCCAAAAGTACACACCAAGCTCCGAGCTGGACTGTAGCCCTGAGAGAGAGACTGTGTGAGAACACTGTAAATCACTGTATGCGTGACTGTTCGTGCGTGCTCGTGTGCACACACACACATCTGTGCGAGTCTGTGTCTAGGTGCATTTGTATCTGTTTGTGTATGTTACAGCGTGTTAATTTGACTTTGCAGTCAGATGACAGTGCCACTGTACAATATGACGCTCAAATGTGCCAAGTGCGGAGTTATCTCTTCGGCTGACGTTTCCACCACAGCTACCAGTAACGCCATGTTAGTCCCGCTAATTATTTTTCCTTAACTCTTCTTACCTCTGTTCTCTTCTTTACTGTACACTTCCCTTCTTCTCCCTCTATTGACTGATTCTTTTTCCTTTATCTTTCTGTCATTTTCTTCTCGCTGGTGCCCTGGCAGGAGGATTTCCCTTATTATCAAAGGCTCATGAAGCTTATGTGCTGCTCTTGAAAACAAACTGTTAACTGTATTTTATATATGCAAATAATTATGCATATGTGATTGATTATTTAATTGGAGTGAGAGTGCTTGTTTGTGCATGTTTAAGAGATCATTAGAGTCTCAAAACTGATCAGGACAGATGTTGAGAAGGCAATGGAAAGAGGACATCAATGCACTTTTATTGTCTCGGTGTGTGTGTGTGTTGCTGTGATTTGAGTGATCATTTCCATTTATACTTTCAACCTGGGTCTTTGTTTTCTGCTTCTAGCTACTGTGCTAATAGAATCTGGTCATACAGTAGCTGTAGAGTTATCAACCTCTTTTCACAGTGAGTGATGCTTTGCTACAATCCACAAATCCAACCTTTAAATAGCTATTGAAATGTTGTAAATAGCTGCAACTGAACAATTAATACACATCATTTCACTTAATTTGTAATGTGACATTGCTCATACACTTTACACAGGCACATATTTATTTTTCTGGCAGGTGGTTGTAAGTACTCCAAAGAGTGAGATGTGTTAAAAATATACAGAATCCCATACAGCACTGCATCAAAGCTTTGGGCCACATGACAAGATAAATAGCCTCATCCTGCCACTTTTACCTCCAGTCTTGTTTTTTGCATCTATGTTTATTACCCATGTTGACCACAGAGTTTGTAAATGATAGGAGTATGTCTAAATACAGTAGATAACACTTTAAATATTGAAATAAATTTTTTCAGTCCATTGTCCCATCACCTTTGTTGTAGCCAACCTTATCCTGTCTGGATCCTGGAACCTTTACTTCTGACACAAATTCACTCCTGTTTATTATCTTTTTTTAAAGGTGTCTTTTTCTAAATGATTTGGGTAGATCTAAATATACTACACAACCATTTTAAATATTGAAATAATCATGTTTTCCAGTTCCATTTTGGTTGTGTAGCTCCTCCCATTTCAGTCCTATCACTTTAGTCCTGAATTTGTTTCACTTCTCCATGTTATTTGTGACATATTTTGACAACAGTAAAATAATCTAATCTAAGCAAATCTTACAGATGTAAGCAATCTAAATAGAAGAGGGATTATTTTAACCTTGTTCCCAGAATTTTGTAGCTGAAGGATATATTACCAGTGCTTATTACAGAATTTCTTAATGTGTTTATTCTGGTTCCACCATGGTCTCATAACTTTTACTGAATCCCATTAATTTTTACTGAGTCTGTTTCAATCCTGTGCATTATTTATTCCTCATATAGAAAAGCAGTGTCTCTTCCTAAATACCATGGGTAGATCTCAATAAAATAATCAACACTTTTAAATAATGTTTTTTTGTTTTATGGTCCCACCATGTAAATACAAGCTTTTATTAGTATTACGTTTCTTTCTGTCTGGCCCGATCAACATCAGTGAGTTACCCGCACCTTTTTATTTTTGACTCGTTTCAGTTAGTTAGCCAATGAGTTAGTGTACAAAATAAACTGCTGCTAACATGTTGATAAAGTTGCAGGTTATTTTCACAGTACCACAGACACAAACACACAGCTCACAATAGTTTTACCAGGATTTCTTCCACCAGAAGGTGTTAGTGGGTGGTTATTTCCTGTACCCACTGGATTGCATTAGAGAGGAGCACTCCCTACAGATGGAGAGGTTTGGTCACGAATGATGAATATGGAAAACAAGGTCCAGATTGAAAATAACTGGAATTTCCCTTTTGAATGCAGTACAGATATGTTGTGCCAGTTTTCAGCATCTTTAACTGTGGCTAGTTTCATACAAAAACTGTTGGTGAGTACGTCCTCCTGAGTGCTACCATGGGCAGGCTGGAAAAGTCTTTGAATTCATACAACAGTATACATCAAATTTCAAATGAGGTCAAGGAAAATAATGGCCAGCATCAACAAACTCTTATACTGGGGGTATTGATTTAGCCCAGTTTAATACCAGAGGTGGAAATTAACTAAGTACTTTTAATTACATGTAAATTATATGATGCGTTTTCAAATTAAAGTCTTGTTAGCAGCAATAATATATTGATAGTAAATTATGAAATTGTAATTGTTATTTTGTTCTATTAAATCTCTCCAGTGCATGATTATTTGTAGCACCATCGCTTGATTAGTAATGCCTTGCAAGCAGCATGAGCTCACATACCTTTTATACATTTTGCGTGTTAATGTAAACAGTTTATCAGAAAAGGATATTTTTCATGTGGCATGAATCCAACAGAAGTCTTTTCACTGTATTTGTCCCTTCTGAAGAACCATCAACTGTGAGACCAGCTACAATAATATTTTCAAAGGTTTATGAACCAATATTATCAGAAATCCCCACTATCAGGTCTCACTCACTGGTAATTAATTCCATTCACATTTACATTATAGTTTTTTTTTGTTTGCTCATATTTTATATTTTACATATATAAAAGCCCTTTGTCAGTACCATCTCTCTCTTTTCAGCTGGGTTCAGCTGATACATATTTCATTGACAACTGTTTAACTCAGATCAAAAAACTCAAGGCACTTAGAAACAGTGAAATTATAACATTTTGAATGCAGCATGCTAGCTTATAATGGAGCTTTGTTCCGTTATTGCATATACAGTACCATATTATTCCACTTGAATAAAGGTCTTAAGTACTTTGTCCACCTCTGGAAAATTCTTTCACTAAAACTCCTCTTGAATAGGCTTGGAATGAAACATAGTATTTATTGTTTTTTGTTTATTCACAGTGTTCTGATTTACAATGTGTTTGGGGGGGGGGGCATCAGCGTGGATGTGGGGAATCACACCTCCTCAGACTCTCTCTCTGTGCCTGTCCTTCTCTGCTCTGCCTCTTCTGTTTGTCTCTGCATTCTGTTTGAGCTTCATTACACTTGTTTTCCCCACTGCTCACCCTCGCTCCTCCCTCTCTTTCCTGTGGCACTAGATCCTCTATGGTTTGATTGAACCATCTTAATCATACATGCATGTAATATATGTGAATTACAAACATATATATCTGCAGATAATGGATGTATGTTTTTGTCTGTGACAGTAACATAATTATTTGTTGTGATGTCATGTATTTATGCATGGTTAGAGTGGAAGGCTGCTTCCACTTTGCTAAGAGTGTGTTCAGTTATCAAGGGCAAGTAGGGGATTAGTTTAAGATTGCATTAAATATTATGTTCTGTGCGTTTTCTGATGTTACAAGGGAAAGGAAATTTGGTTTATATCTTAGAGTTTCTTTGTAAAGAAGACTGCACTTAGATAATGGAAAATAGGAAATATGCTACAACTGTCAGGAAACACTGCAGTCTTACCTTGCAAATGTTGACCAAGGTTTACCAGTGCTGTCCTTGACCACTGTTCCCTTGCCATCCTGCAGGGCATCACTGTGGAGCTCCTGTGTAGTTTTGCCCCTCCTGGCCCTCACATGGATGTCGGCTGTCCTCGCCATCACCGATCGGCGCTCTGCACTCTTCCAGATCCTGTTTGCTGTGTTTGATTCACTGGAAGGCTTTGTCATTGTCATGGTGCACTGCATCCTGCGACGAGAGGTACCTCACATGACCACTGACATTATGTATTTAACTTCTTCCCGGTTTTGTTTGTTATATATGCTGTATAAAATTTCAACCTTACATTGATATTCTTTGTATAAATGAATGTGGAATTCAGATTAAGAGTTTTACCATTTAGAAAAACTACTGAAGGTGCACAATGATATTCTTACAGCCCTTGACGCAAAGAATACCATTGTTTTAGTGCTTTCAGATCTCACAGCAGCCTTCGACACCGTGGACCATACAGGCCTCATATCCCACCTTGAACATTGTGTCAGTTTGCGTTAAGCACAGCACCTTAAATGTTTATTTCTTTTCTGAGCAACAGGACCTTTTCAGTTCTGATCAATGACTCTACCTCTGAAATAGCCCCTCTCTCTTCAGGTATTCCCCAAGGTTCAATCCTGGCACCTATTCTTTTCTCATTATATATGTTACCGTTAGGCTCAATTATTTCTAAGCATAACATTCATTTCCATTTTTATGCTGATGATGTACAGATTTACTTGCCATTGATGCAGAGTGATGCTAATGCACTAGGCCCCTTGCACAGGTGTTTGGGTGATATTAAAGAGTGGCTCGCACAGAACTTCCCTCATTTGAATGAGGGGAAGACTGAATACATTGCTTTCAGCCCAGACCCCACCCACACTGTATCCGGCCTAGGAGCTTCAGCCCCATTATTCACTCAAACTGTGAAAAACCTGGGATGTTATTTGATTTAAATGAGGGGAAGACTGAATATATCTCTTTTAGCCCAGACCCCACTCACACTGTATCCGGCCTAGGAGCTTCAGCCCCGTTATTCACTCAAACTGTGAAAAACCTGGTAGTGTTATTTGATAGCAGCCTCAAATTTGACAAGCAAATTAGTTCGGTGGTCAAAACAAGCTTCTTTCAGCTGAGGCTCCTAGCAAAGGTGAAGCCCTTTATATCTCGAACCAACCTAGAAAAAGCCATTCATGCCTTCATTAGCTCAGGACTTGACTACTGCAATGCCCTCTATGTATACTGGAATTAGTCAGTCTCAACTCCACAGGCTCCAACTCGTACAGAACGCAGCTGCTCGCCTACTGTCAAACACTCCAAAGAATGCTCACATCACCCCGGTCCTTTGGTTCCTTCACTAGCTTCCGGTACAGTTCAAAATAGATTTTAAAATTTTACTGTTTGTGTTCAAGGCCATTAATGGTCTTGCGCCAGTCTATTTGACCGAACTTTTAACCATTTATACCCCGGTCAGAGCGCTGCGTTCTAATGGTTTTTAAGTCTAAATTAAAGGCACATTTATTCAGACGGGCTTTTGGCATCTAATATTTAGCAGCAATGCTATACGGGGCCTACAGGCCATCCTGATTTTATATTTTGTAATTTTACTTGCTCTGTATTTGGACTCTCTTTTATTTTACAGGAATTTTATGGTTCTTATAGATCTTGTTTTAAACTTGTGCAATGTTAACCTTTTTTTGTTTGTTTATGTAATTTTGGCATACTCTGTTATATCTCTGGTTTATTGTGACGCACTTTGAGCTCCTTTTGGTTTTGTAAAGTGCTATGTAAACAAATAAATTATTATTATTATTATTAAAACATATCTTGGAGAACAACTATACTTTTTTTACTAGCAGGAAATGAATAGCTACAGTATGTGGGTATGTCAGTTGGACTATCCATTCATTCAGGCAACACTTTGGTTTAGTACAAGATATCTTGAGAACTATAGGCTGAAAACCATTATAAAGCCTCATCCGGTTCTTTCAAACCAGGAACTCCGAGGGACGACTCAGACCACTTGAGTATATAAAAAATATAACCGTGCTGGTTTATTCAAAGAGTCACAGGCAAGCATCAACACTCCAAGTCCAGAGATCTTCCAACCCCAGGCTGCCCAAGCAGCCCGGAAGCAGCAAGACCCCGAACCAAGAATTCCTATACAATATTAATCCTTTCTGGGCTGTCGAACCGTGACGTCACCTGATATGCCAGCTTGGCAGCTGAGCAGAGCAGTAGACAAAACATGAAGAAAATAATGTGTGTGGCTGTTGTTTTCGTGGTGTGTATCTAAAACAATTTGACATAACATTACACATTAAGACAAATATTATGGTTACTTTTACCGTCATAATAACATTTGTCCCTGACTTGAGCCCTTCTCTGCTTTTTAACTAACCTTGCATTTAACATCCTGAGGAGACATCCTGCTGCACTAAACATTCATAGACAACAAATCTCTGAATATCTATCTAACTAAAAAATAACCTAACAGAACTGTTATCCAAATTGACATGAAATTTGAGTAGAGGAATCAGAGCATGAGGATTTCTTGTGTATCTTTGCTATAATCAAAATTCAGACAATACTCAACCACATGAAATGTCAAAAGTCCATATTTTAGTGAGCAGATTAATGCTCCCCAGACAGTGAACCCTTTCTGCTTTGGAATGTCACTTAGCTTACTTGTCGCACCATCTACACAATCCTAAAAGGTGAACTTTGCACACTAGATCATTTAATTTGCAGATGGCAAGACACTCCTTGCGCACATTCAGCCTGCCAATGATCCATGACCATGGTAGTGCCACTATCAAGACCAACTTGTAGTCTAGAATTTTAAGCATAACTAAAGATATGTTCACATTACCTGCTGCAACCACTCAAATCAGATTTTTTTTTTGTCCATGTGATTCAGATCTGATCATTTCATAGATGTGTGAACAAACCAAGCTGGATTTTATTCAGATCAGTTTTGAGCCACTTGCATATGTGGTCCTTGATTTGAAACATATCTGATCTCTGACCATGCAACCATGGTCAGAACAGTCAGATTGGAATTCATGTGGTTTTTTTCAACATCTCACGCCACAGTTCAATGCACCATAAAACACATTATTTATCTTCTGCCTCTTGATCATGTGGGGGTAGCTCCAGCTGCTAAGAGGTGTTGGTAGCTTGCAACATGAAGCCTTTGCTGCTAGGTGTTATTTTAACCCCTCATCAGAAGACCAAGTGAGAGACTCCACTGTCAAATCTTGCTGCAACAAATCAGTGCAACATTTCAGCCAATCACGAGTCTCGATGAGCCACCTGTGTTGAAGGCAGAGCTCGGCCCCTCTCAGCCCTGTCTGGAAGCAAGGCCAGCTGAGCCCAAGTCAGCACCATTACCCCCCTGCTGCTAGGAACACATGGAAATGGAGGCCAACCGTCCCTGCTTGGCTCGACTCAATTAAAATGGACTGACCTGTTCTGATGGAAAAACACCGTTGGTGTTTGTGAACTGATGTATTTTTATATCCAACCTCTACTAATATCATGATCTGTGCTGCAGGTTCAGGAGGCAGTGAAGTGTCGTGTGGTTGACCGGCAGGAGGACACTAATGGTGATTCAGGAGGATCTTTCCAGAATGGCCATGCTCAGCTCATGGTATGAACTGACATGTTTGGTTTTACCTTTTATGATTTATGATTATTTTTTGGTAGAATGCACACTAAATCCATTATATATTGTCATCTGTCCACAGACTGACTTTGAGAAAGATGTTGATATGGCTTGCAGATCAGGTAAGCTCGAGGTTGGGAGTGTTTGATATTGTGTGTGCGTGTGCATTTGATTTGACTTTGGGGACTGCTGTTCAAAAAGCTACTGTTAGGAATTAACGCAATTCTTTTGTTGGAAGCACGAGAAGTGACGACAGGAGAGGACTGTTTAAAATCAGCAGAAAGTTTACTGAATGTCTGATCACAGGTAGGCCTTACAGTGCTGGGAGCAGAGAGATAGAGCTCCCGCAGGAGTTCCATCCACTGACCCCGAATACATTTTATCTTCTTGGGCTGCTCCGCCCTGGACAGAGGTGCAACCTTCAATCATTTGTGATCCTATTGGTCATTTGGTGTGAGCCGGAGCTCACACTTCCATGTTGAAATATGGTAAATGTAGCTATGTGTGTGTGTGTGTGTGTGTGTGTGTGTGTGTGTGTGTGTGTGTGTGTGTCTGGGTGTGTGCGCCCACTTACAGCATTCAAAGTAAGCAGATTCTGCTTCATTACAGCTGTAAGATATATAAGCAAGGGAAACAAATTTATTAAAATAACCAAAGCTCAGTAGTTCTGGACAATCATCAATACAGCTGTAATATGTATAAACAAGTAAGATAAAGTTATGAAAGGTAACTAAAGGGAACTAAAGGTATGAGAAGTAACTAAAACTTATAAAGTAACTAGAGTCTATAAGACTCAAATCTTACACTACAAATGTCTTGTTAGATTTTTAGGTTCTTTTATTTTTAGGTTTCTTTTCAAAAGAAACAACCAAATAACAAACCAATCCGTTTACACATATTCCCCCACCAAACAACATGTAGCAAAGTCACAATTTTAGAAGATGAAAAATTTGGCACCAAGTTTTGCTTTCAAAATATAATCATTTCAGCTCTAATTTATAATTCCACAGACTTTTACAGTTTCATACATCCTGTTGCCCTGCTGCCTGTTCTGTGCACTTCTAGTGGGGCATTTGGTTGGCTCCTGGGGCCTGATGTTGTCCAGGTGGTGGCCACAAAAAGCTGTTCAATTTCTCTCAGCATCCCCAGTGAGGTGCAGGATGAAAACACTCATCTGAAATCCCCCAGTGTGGGTATAATTCCAGCACATGATTCCAAGAAGGCTTTAATCCATTGAGCTCCCCCAGAAGTTATATCAGGCATTTGTGATTTAATTATGGTGGTGTCTTGTAGAGAAAATGGGGTATAAGAGAGAGTAGTGCACCCACTAGTGGAGGTAGTCATTACTAAAGGCATTTGGTGCCAAGGCTTAAGGGGTGACTGTGACTCAAGACAGGTATGGACATTTCCATTGTTAGGTATTTTTAGTCAGATAGATATTGGTTAGATACTTTATGTATTAGAAATGTTTAGTGGAGATAGGATGTCTATTTAGACTGTTAAATGCTAGTCATGCTTATGAGTTTCTACAGGGTGCATCTGGTCAAGGATAACTAGAGAGAAAAGTTGATGATTTAATATTATTATTATGATGTGTATAACTGTAGTCTTAGTCATAATATTTTCTTATGTTTAATGTCATGACATGTCACTAGAGGTCATGTGAGAATGCTTTTAGCTACACACCACTTAATCAACAGACACACACATACTGATTTACTTCATGTTTTGACTACTGCTATGGCCAGCTGCAAAGCTGGCACCAGAGACGTCGCAGTTGACGTTTCTGTGCAGTATGGGGCTAGCCCAACCGAAGAGATAAATGTAACTGTGAACACGCCTCAGCATAAGGAGGAGGTGCAGCCGTGGGGGTGGGCATGTTTTCTGTTGTATGAGAGAGTTCAACTTTGTTCTCAAGTGGTTCAGGAATTGTTACAGGCATTTTTGGGGTCATTGATGCAGAGGACTGATGTTGGAGAGCAAGTTTAACCTCAGTAAGAAAACATTGGCACTTTGCTAGAAAAGCCTCTGCCTTTTGAGCCCTTTTAATTGCATTTCCCTTGTGCAATCTTCCTGCTTCGCACACTTTTCTTTTACGCTGTGTCATTGTAAATTAGACAAACACGTATTAACAATTCGGTGAATGGCGTAGTGCCCACGTGACAGATCCAGCCAAGAAGCTTCTACACAGAGACTGCGTGCTTGGCTGTTGAGGGTATCCCAGTCAAATCACTTGTTTTAGACACCAAAATTGCAATACCGTAATTCTATAATCCCAAACTGCTATTCCAATGCCCCCCAAAACAAAACTACTTGAGAGCTGTAATTGAGTACTGGAATTCTCAAACAGGAAGCTGCTTGATACGCTGTTTCTCAAGACAATCAAATCTCTTTCAAGAAGGGAAACCACCCCACAATAATGTGAAAAACAAACTTGTCCCTGTGTCCTTATTAACAATTTTAACTGTGGCCAAAGTACATTATATTAACATTGCACACTTGTAGGGAGTTCTCTTCTGGATCTGGACTCACTATACGCTGACCGGATCCAGAGGAGGGCCGGACGGATTGCTGCAGACCCCACCCACCCAGGCAACAGTCTGTTTGTGCCTCTTCCCTCCAGGAAGAGGTACAGGAATATAAAGACTAAAACAAACAGACTGAGACACAGCTTATTCCCCAGAGCTGTGAAATCAATCACAACCCTAACCCCTAGTCACACACACAACCTCCCCCCTTTGGACAGACACAGAACACTGGACCTCAAACTTCCTCCTAAAGACTGAGATTTGCACTGAGCTGCAACTTATAATGTTACTACACTCTAACATGCTGCTGACCTGATTAGGTCCCATACATCCCTTTTTATTTGTTTATATTTTTATATTGACTTATACAGTTGTGTGGTATGTAAATAATATGTCCGTTCTTTAATGCAGAGAACTGCTGGGAAAAATTTCGTTTTGCTATCCATAATGACAAAGATTCTTGACTTGACTTGACTTTGCAGAATTAATATTTTAACTGCAGTTCAACAACACTGTACTAAGGTTATCGTTCACTGCAGTATTAAGTGTCCTAGTAAATTTGGAAGACAACCCTAAGTGGTTATTCATTCATGTGATGAATTTTACATCTTTTATGAGACCAAACGATCTAATGCTAGGACACTCATGTACTCTTCCCCCTGTTGAGACTGTGATTTTTGCGTTACATTTGCACTTCAAAATAAAAGACAAACCGCTTTACCTCTCTTAACAAATTTAGAACAATTTACCGATCAGGAAAGATCCTCAGTCAGACAATTCAATATTTTAGAGTGCCCAATATGCAGAAATTCTCTATATTTAGAAAATGTTTCCAGCTCACCTGTTTATGAAGCCGACAGATTGTCTGAAGGAGTATTTCCGTAGATCGCGCGTCCTCAGTTCTCCGCCGATCTCCACTTCCACGTCAGTCAATCCCGGACGAGCCCCTATCTGTTAGATTTTTACCTAGTTCTTTTATTGAAAGTGCGAGAAGTGAAGACAGCAGAGGACTGTATAAAATCAACAGAAAGTTTACTCAAAGTCTGGGATCAGAGAGACAGAGCTCACGCAGGAAATCTGTTCTCTGAACCACAAGTTACGTTTTCTCATTACATTTATTATCTTGGGATAGTCCGCCCGGGACAGAGGTACAACATTTCACACTTCGTAATTCTATTGGCCATCTGGCGTGAGCAGGTCAACCCCTGCCTGCGCCTGCTTGCTGGAATGTGATAGAAACCAGGCTGTATCACACAACATGATTACTAAACAATTGTATGTCTGCAGCTGCAGACCCCTGTGTGCATAGGCTATTACAGGACAAAGCAGGATCTGGTGAGTATGCTAAACGGGCCAGGTGGTCATCTCAGGTTGTAGGTCCCCTGTCTCTGCAAGATACTACATGACAAAGCAGAACTTGGAATATGCTAAGCAGGCCTATGTGAGGATGCAAAACAGGCCAACAGGTCTGTGTTAAAATGTAAAATAGTGTCTGTACCTTCAGGTAACCAGATGGCCTATGTCTACATAGAAGTTAAAGCAGGCAGTTTCTACTTCAGTATCACCTGACTCTCATCAATACAATTGTAAGATATATAAGCAAGGAAAATAAAGTTATGAAAGGTAACTAAAGGGAACTAATGGTATGAAAAGTAACTAAAGCTTATAAAGTGACTGAAGCCTATAAGATTCAAATCTTATAGTCTCTTTGTGCCTCTTTGTTGTATTTTGACTGTTTCTAATTCATTAGCGCTGCTGTAACAAATGTGAAGCATGTTTCTCTCAGTTCTGCAGTTGTGCCTTACAATCACCCTCACAGCAGCCTCTCTTCAACAGGGAGCTGCTTTGACAAGAGATACAACACATTACTGCTGCATGGCGCAGTTTATGGGAGAAGGATGAACGTGTGCCGAGCAGTTATATGCAGATAAACACTGTTCTACACTGCCACTGTATAATTAAGTTCCTCCTGACAGAGGCAAATATGGGCTCTGCTCTGCTATCTGCTGGGAGAGAAAATCTGATTATCTCTTGAGACAGGATATCAGGAAAAGCATCTGGAAGAGAAAAGCTATTGAGACACAGACCGGTCCAGATTGAGAAAAGACAGAAAGGAACCAAGAGGTTTTTGATTTTTTTTTTTTGTATATGTCAGATGGGAGGAGGAAGCACTGAGTGAGATTGTCAGATATATGGTAGTGTGGATAGAGCATTGTCTGATGTTGTTTACCAGCCTGGACATGATATGGGATATGCATGCTGCTGTAAGCCAGCAGTTGTTATGTTGAAATGAGGTTGGGTCACAATGTCAAGGCAGGCGTGATGGTAGCCATGTGCTGTCAGTTGAGATACTTTTACAGAAGCAAACTTACTCCTGCTGGGGAGATCTGCTCTTTGATTTGTCAGAGCAGTCAGCACAGTTAAACCAGTATGTGTGTTTGAAGGTCAGTGCCTACTTTGATATAGATTGACACAGCTGATATTTTCTTCATAATGTATGTTGAAGTCTTGTATGCGTGTGCACATATGCATGTGTATGCAGTCTTAATTTTGAACTTTCTACTAAAGACAAGGGGATTCTTTCATATAGCTGGACTATTTATACCATGAGACAATATTATACATTTGTTGACCTTCAGAGATTTTGCCATATCATTGATTCCATTGTACTGTAGCTATCCCTCTATTATCTCAGGGTACATTAGGACTTTGTGGGCAGTGATGCAAATAAGTGAGCAAAACTACTGCATGGCAATATTAGATATACTGGACAAACAGTGGCTCAGAAATTGTTATTTTTAGCTGTATAATCTCTGCAGAAATATTAGATCTAATGAAAAACTATAGTTATGATTAACTTAGCAAAACTGGGTAGCAACTAAAGCCCTAGATTCAGTGTTTCCCTCGGCTAATTTGCGCTAAAACAAACATTTGAGAATATGTACAACTAAAGTTCAGCATAAGCTAAAGTGAAAAGTCTCTTTTGCTGGATTTAACAGGGACACACAGCTCAGTCTTGACCCAGGGCTCCCGAGCAGGTTAATCCAGCCACTGTTCATCTCACACAGTTTTCTCTCCTTCTGTTGCCTCCAGGCACTGTGAAGCGCTCATCTCTCCAGGGAGAGGAGATGTCCTCCTCTGGGGCCCTCACCCTCCAGAAGGGTTCTAACTTCAATACCATGCCAGCCAGCATGGCCAAAGTTCACCTCCAGAATGTGGCGGACTACACCAGCCACACTCTGACGCTGCGCAGGGAGAAAGGTGCCACTAAAGGAATTAGCACTGAGCTACCGGGTGCCAAATCCATCTACATCTGCGAGGGTGAGCTCTTCAAGCAGCTGGATGGAGAGCTGCCTCGAGTTAATGGTGAGGGTAGCTCTGAGGGCGCTGGGAAAGGCCCGGGGTATCTCATTTTACCAACCAACAACACAGGCACCCTGAAGCCAGCCAAAGGCAAAGAGGAACAGACGGCCAAGTACATCGAGCAGCTGCCCCAGACCAGGCTCATCCATTTGGCTAACCCTGCCAGTGGACAGCCAGTGCCTGGCTTTGGGTTGAATACCCTGCCTGCTGACCAGGTCAGTGTGTCATGCTCTGACAGAGACTCACCTGCACATAACCTGCAGACCATGCCCAGAGACTCCCAGGTGGCTAACATGTGTGACGGGGGAGACTCTGGAAACTCCGGTGTGATGTCCAAGAGTGAAACTGTCTCCACACTGTCCACGAGTTCACTGGAGGTAAGGCCACTAAATGAATTAGCATATTATTTTCATAATGCACCATCACCCTCATACTCATATTTAAAATAAGAGATGCATATAAAGTTGTGTTTTGTACTGCTACTACTCACCATAAATTCTCAAATATTTTTGAGAATATTTTTATTTATATCAACTGCAGAAAGATCTTTAAAGGCAGGTTTGTAGTTTATTTCCCATGTTCTATAAGTGTAATGTATAATATTTTAGTAAGATGCACCCCTTTTTTCTGATCTGCTCCTGTTCTAATTTGATTTTGGGCTTTTTGCTGTTAGTTGCTGGCAGTTCCACATATTATATCATCCTGTTCTGTATCTCATGCCATACTGATCACTCTACTGCTCTGTTTAGCCTTTTTAACACAAATGTGGTTTGTATTCACTAATTTATTCTAATCATCAGCTTCTTTCTATAATGGGCATAATTCCTTGCTTTCCTAGAAGGCTTTTAATGTGAAACATCTGCAGGAAGTGGTGAGTTTCACTGATAGTAGCTAAACAACAATGAAAGAACAACAAAGCAGAACTGATTGGAATAAATTAGTGAATAAAAGGAGTATTTTTGAGTAACAGCAGAGTGGTAGGTATGTCATGATTGTTGCACTGATGGAATTAGTGCTCTGATGATGCTGAAATTACCATGTGAGATACAGTCATTCAGATACTTCCTCTCCTGTGTTTTTAACTGGCTTTTCTTTGAGAATTTATGGTAGTATCACTGTGGTAAACATCATTTTCTTCACATCATATCTCCTCTGTAGTATCACTCTCTCAGTTCAGGGACATGAAGCTTTCTTTTTCATTCATCATACATTAGTTTCCCACAGAGCACAGCCATTCTTACAGTAAACTACAGTAAGGAATGACATTATATAATCCTGTCTTTGAATCATCTGCAGTCAGGTGACAAATTAAAGAACAAACCAATACAAAGTGTCTCAGTAAGGTGTTGGGCCACCATGTGCCAGTAGAACAGCTTAACTCTACTGGAGGGATGAACACCATTCTTCACGCTAGACTTTGTCTATTATTTTGACAGACGGGTCATAAAAAGTCTGTCCTAATATATTTTTCATTTTTTAATGATAATACCTATGTAAAAGCATTTAATTTTCATTCATTCTTATTTCATTTTTTAATAATTAATATACAGAACAAGCTTATGTGCAGCCACTTTTTATGTCAACACCATGTGAAGCAGATGACTGTTTTCCACACTGACAACATCAGCCATTAAAAGCACTGCGGCCAGTGTGCATAAACAAGCAAATACAAACAATGCAATTTTACAAAATTAGACAATTACTATTAAAATATGAACAACTCAACAAGCTGATCTGCTGTAGTCTAGCCTGCTGCAGAGGAGGTTGTCAGTAGGTTTTGCACCTTCAGACAGACAACTTCTCATGGCCAGTCTTGTGTCCAAATCTGTTTTCCTGTTGAGATGTGTTTCCCTCTGTTACCATGTTTCTAGCAGCACCCCCTCAGTGGACATGGTTAAGATAAGGTAGGGGAAACACATTTTAATGGGAGCACAGGTCTTGACAGAACCTGTGCTCTGCTGCTGCACTGAAAACTGGACTTGCCAGCTCCACTTAAGCCAAAGTTTTGAAGTCGGGCAACCTTCTTCTCAGGAGGTGATTTGAAGTTGTTCTAAATGTAAGATTTCCTCATCACACACACTCACGTCACCAGGAAGAATCCCCTGCATGCGTTCCTTCTACTCCAGAGGCACAGCTGCACCTCTCTGTGACCAGTAGTGGTCATAGCTGTGCTCCATTGCCTCCGGTCTGTGACTCTTCAGCTCCTAAATAGCGAGATGCATTGAGTAGGTCTCAGTTGTCCTTTACTGATTCCTCACCACACCACATCAATTCCTCTTTTTTTGCCTCATCATAACAATTATTAGGCTTTTAGGCTGAATAACTCTGAGTTAGTGTAGATCACCCTGAGTGGTCTAATTTTTCAAAACAACCTTTAGATTTTTTCAGTCATTTAAAAAAAATCCATTGTGGTGGAAGATATTTGATGAACACAACCTCTGATATTCCCTCATGTGGTGTTTTGATGATGGTGGTGGAGATGCTGTCCAACATGCCACTCCAATATCTCCCACAGCTGTTCAACCGGGTTCAGATCTGGTGACTGTGGAGGCCACAGCACATGATTCACATCATTTTCATACTCATCAAACCACTCATGGATCCTATGGATGGGGCCACTGTCATCCTGAAAGAGACCATACCCTTCAGCATAGAAATGTTTAATTATAGGATAAAGGTGATCACTCAGAATAGCTTTGTATTGATTAACAGTGACCCATCCTTCTAAGAGGACAAGTGGACCCAAACCATGTCAGCATCTGTATTCATTATGTTTCTCCACTCATTTATTCAGGTGTTTTCTTTTGTCACTGATCTGTATGTGGCATGTATTGTGCAGCAGGTTATGTTTGACCAACACAGCATTAATGCTTTCTCCTTAGATGAAAAAATCATTACCATAGATGATCAACTAGGGAGTTAAACATCAATAAACTGAATGTAAATTTATAAAACTAATAAAAAGGAACATTAATGAGGCCTCTACCGGACAGTGTTCTCATACATTCATCCTTTCTCTAATGCTAAAAATAAGGCAACAAGCCCTGTTATTTAAGACTGATCCACAATAAAGTAAACCAGCATTTAGTGGCCCCATGTAAGGACAGCACAATTTAAAGTTTAGTTTTCACTCAGCTCCTTGTGCAGACAGCAGTGGCAGGATGAGGCGACACAGCAATCAACACACATCTGCCGGCTGGTGTCTTTTCACTTCAGGGCAAAACCCACTTCCATAATGTCGTGTGAGGCATGACAGCTGCCACAGTGACAAAGCAGCCTGAAGGTCAGGTTTTCCTTCAGCGCACCGTGACAGAGGACTGAAAGGTCATTGGGTCACAATCTGTTAACTGCAAACTTGTGCCAACAGGGTCAGAATGAGCAGCATCAAACTTTGTTTCCTCCCTCATGACTCCTCTCGTCTGAGTCCCAGAAACACTCTTTATTGACTGGCTGATGCTGAGTTACACAATGAAACACTTGAGCATTTGTCTGCTCACAAGGCACACAATATCAAGACACATCTTTAATCTCTCTGTCTCATCTCCCCCCCAGAGACGAAAATCACGCTATGCAGAGCTTGACTTTGAGGTAAATTTAGTCTCTTTGATTCCTACAGAGCTTTTTAGACTTAGACCAAAGCGTTCATATGTCTTTTAGCTCTTCAGACCTCTGGTTGTTTGCATACATTAGTGTTGAGATTAGCGACATTAAGGGGGTAAAGTAATGCTAGCCTGTGCTGTTTGCCTTGTACATAACGTGCAATATTCCTGTGTAGAAGATAATGCACACCCGGAAACGCCACCAGGACATGTTTCAGGACCTGAGCAGGAAGATTCACAGTGCAGACAAGGATAGAGAATCTCCACCTGTTGATGCCAAAGCTGCCAAAAGATGGAGTGTGTCCTCTGCCAGCAGTGACAAGACCAACATGAGTGTAAAGAGTTTAACTTTATTCTGTTCTGCTCCACCCCCGTCCCCCTCCCCTATATCTAATGTTGTTCTCCTTTTCTCTAATCATTAGCGCAAATCAGCACACTTGGGTGGAGTTGCCTGTTTAATTATAAGTGCAGCCGCTTTGAAGATTGCATTTTTTATCTACTTACATTGTAGGTGCCAGGAGAAATTAGCTGTCGGGGCATCTAGGGCCTTAACTGTGGGTGGGCATACAAATGACTTCTACAAACTTAGCCAAATACTCAGTGCCACTCCAAATGATGAATTAACAGCCTAGGCTCTAGCTAAACACAGGCTAATGTTCTGGAGGGGTATGTCAGAAAGCAGATTGAGTGAAAACATGGGGAGTTTGTTTGTGGTAAAATAAGGGGAATGCAAGGTTTTCAGTTCCAGAAACAGAGATCACTTGAACACTGACTTAATTACTATGGTAACTTACTCTGTGAACAACAAGCACAACAAACCCAGACTTGCTGTCTGTCTCCTCCATCCTGCAGAGAATGGAGAAGCAGTGACAGGCTGATTCATTAACTCAGACATACATTTCATATCAAAGTGTATATGGAGCAAATTCATTTTCAGTATTAATTAATGCTCATTGGATATTAGTCTGTTGTTTTACCAAGATCTAGCTATCTTTGCTCATGTTACCACCCTGATTAGTCATCAGTGTAGGGACCAAGATTGTGATCCTCACCTTCATACTTGTGTGGTCAACTCATCCTTAGCCCACAATAAAAAACTTTGTAGGCCACTTATTCATCTTTCTAACACTGTGGCTTTGTGAACATGTTAACAACTGCAAGGTTGTTAGTGGGTTCCCCTGCACTGAAACATCTACTGTACATTACTCAAACCAATATAGGGCTAAAAAAAATTTTTAAATGTGTTTGAAGCTTTACATGCATAAGACACTGATCTATGAATAATTGTTTCTTGTGTTGTTATCAGTTGCACTGATGGAACATTTCTATCACAGATATTGATCATTTGGAGATTATGTTAGTATTTCTGAGTGAGAATGATTGTAGTTCAGCATTAAAGACTTGACGATTTAAAAACTGCACTAAATGCAGTTTAAAAGTCAGTTTTTGAATAAAAGCTACATATGGTCTTAAATTGGTTTAACAGTACTTCAGTTACTCTGAATAAGCTTGTTTATACATTATATAGGCTAGTTATTAAATGCATTTGAACAAGATTTTGGAATGTGTAATAGATGTCTAAAAATTTGCTCCTTTTAATCTCAACTCCAACTGAAAGTCACCAAAATCTTTACTGCTGGGTCACACTATGAGGTTACATTGTAAAGAGAAAGATCTAAATGCATTTAGGTTATGTCTCACCTGTCTTTTGCTGCCACCAGCCTTCTGTCCCCATCAGCTTTTGGCTGAATAAATAGGCCTAGCCTACTTAAATAACTACAACAAGTGGCAAGATTCTAGCCTTTTACCAGCCATTAAAAAGTTCCATTCATCCATTGTCAATGCCGCTAATCCTGAATAGGGTTACAGGGGGCTGGAGCCAATCCCAGCTGACATTGGGCAAGAGGTGGGGTACACCCTGGACAGGTCGCCAATCTGTCACAGGGCTGACACTTAGAGACAACCGCACACACGCACCTATGGGCAATTTAGAGTCGTCAGTCAAGCTAAGCTGCATGTCTTTGGGCTGTGGGAGGAAGCTGGAGTACCTGGAGAGAACCTATGCAGGCACAGGGAGAACATGCAAACTCCAACAGAAAGGCCCTGGGTCGACAACCTGGAACCTTCTTGCTTGAGGCAACAGGCTTAACCACCGTTTCACCATGCCGCCCTTAAAGAAAACCAAGTCTGCTAAACAAATGAATGAGTGGGCTATATTGAAAGAAGTAATGATTTTAACTCATTGATTTTTTTCTCCAACTCAGGCTTTTCACCTGCTGCTGACATGTTATTCTTAAGATAAATGTGCATTAATGTCACCCAGTATTTGTGCTCCTCTGAATTAGAGGCAGTATTGTTCTTTTTTCACCTGTTGCCATGGTGAATTGTAGTGATGGAGCTCCACTGATGATGGCTTTTTATAGTCATCATGCATGAGCTTAACTCTTGAGTTAATTAAACTACCTCTGATCAGCTGTTCTGGAACCAAAAACCAGAGTTTCCCATCTCAGTGTTAGTCCGCTCACAGTTCAGGGTGAAGTTCAAAGTTTGTTGAACCACCTTTCTGCAGTGATGGCAAAGTACATACACTCAAGTTGAAGTACAGACACCTGTGTAAAAATCTGGTAAAAGTAGAAGTATTTGAGTAAAATAAAAATGTATAGGCTCTCAAATGTACTCAAAGTAAAAAGTAGTCCTTCAAAGGATATTGCTACTGGCTGTTTCTGTGCAAAACTAACTGAACCTCACATTATATTAAAATATTTCCCAGATTATTAAACCATTTAATCTTCAAATACAAATTATACAAAAAATAATTAACATTACCAACAAGAACACATTTCAGGTTTATTAAACCTTAATGGATTTAATCTTTTCAACACTCCCCTTACAGACACTAAAACCAACAGTAAACTGTTTCTATTCACAGTTCATGTCTGTCAGTCTCCACCCTGGACTAGCTGGTTTGTTGTGTCATAGACCTTTGTTTCAAAATCTATTAAAAACACATCAGTGAAACACACTGTTGCACTGGGTGACGTTTCTTCATTAGAAAACACCAGACCAGTGTATATGTTGCCCCAAAAGCTTCAAATGACCACAACTTTTTACAGTGTCTGAAGCAAGACTAAAGCATGCGCACAATCTCTGTGAACGCATGAGGATTATGCAGTATGTGCTAAATAAAAATAATCAATAAGTCCCTTCAAATTTATTAAAACTAAAAGTAATGAGAGTGATTTGAAAATAATAATTTTGTCAAAATGTAGGGAGTAAAATTAAAGTTGTCTTAAAAATATATATTCGAGTACAGATACCTGAAACATATACTTAAGTGCAGGAACAAAGTATGTGTACTTTGTCAATTCCCACCTCTGCTTTTTGGAAATACCCCCTGTTATTGTATGAGTTTGGTTCATTTTCATAAATTAAGCTTTTAAGAAATTTCTCTCCTCTGTTTGACAGCAGCAATTCTGTCTTTGTGTACATCATGTTTCAATTAGACATGTAATACCAATAAGAGCAAGAAACACAGTCAGTGCATTAGCTTGGCTAGCTGTCAGCTGGTAATGGATGAAATAAAGCAAAAATATACAGTGGTTTTGGGACACTGTAAAGGCAGTAGTCAGGCTAGTGGGCTAGCCTCATGCTAAAGTGCTAATTTTTGTTTAGCACAGTGGAACCACTGTACATTCTCATTTGAAAGATAAATTATAATGAGATCATCAAGTCTTCATGATAATTAAACTATACTGTAAACTAGTATAACTACTAGTTTAAACTATTTAAACTTCCCGTATGTTTGATTAATGTATGGCTGCATATAGATATAACTATTCAATCCAATTCCATTGCATTTGTATGGCAGTACAGTCCCCAATAACCTCAGTGACCCTTACTACTGTTACTAGAAAAATGAATCCCATCGAACTAATCAGAGAATTAAAGAGCATGTCATTTTTAACCCAGTTTCTCATCTTGCTGATGATTAAGAGTTTTATGCCCTTTGTAGGATTTGGAATCCTACAAAGCCCCACATGCCTGCCAACCAACATTGTCTTTGCAGGAATGAACGGAGCTGTCGCCTCCCATAATGAACTTTTAAAGATTATTCTTAGACAACGGCAGTTTAGGTTTTTTCCTGCTAGCTAAATAATGACTCTTGCAGTTTTTTCACCCCCACCCCACACACACTAAACAAGAGGAAACGAAGCTAGGACTGGATGTGGTGGGAACTAGCCACCAACAGCAGGTACAAATGGGAATCACATGTTGGCTTTGTAGCTGCAGTCATTCCATGGCAGCAGTTGATTTGTATTTCCTTCTGCTGCAGAAGCCCCAGAGTTCCGTTTGTTTCACAGCTTTAGAATCTGGTCTCTTCTGGTTTAGGGCCAATTTCACTTCCAGCATATTAAGGCTACAATGATTTGAAATTGAGTTTCAGAACCCAGCCTGTTATTTGTGATAGTCCAATAGAATCACACAGCATTAGCTTCTTTCCAGACAGTGAACGAGGCAGAGAGATTGTCTTCTCCACTGTGGGTACAAGATGTGTTTTGAGAATGTGCCTCAGCCTACGTCACATTTACATCCCAAATTAGTACACCCAGCTCAATCATGGTGCACATTCTGTGCTATACTTTAGATTAGATCAGCAGGTTATCACCCATTTTATAGAAATTTCTCAAGAGGACTACAAATGACAAAGTTTGACATGTTGGAAAATATCTGTATTTGTTTTCTTGCTGAAAGGCAGAAATATCATGTCTGTGTGTTAAGCGTAGAGCTTTATATGGGAGGTGGATAATTTAAATTACTATACAGACTCAGGCTTAGGGATGTTAGTCGCTGCAGAAACAACTCCAGCTCACAAGTTTCTGTACAAACAAAAATAATTTTTATATTTTTTTATTATGGAGTAAGCTAATGATATACAGTGTGTTAATTTGTGAGCTTCAGAGGTGCTGGCAGATAAACTTCCTAAACTGCAGACAAAGCCAGGGTAGATTTTGGTAAGCTAAGCTCTAGCTCCATACTTAACCCACAGTTACAGCAGAGGTATGTTCTTATTTAACTCAGCAAAATAGCCATTTAAGAGCTTTTTTATGTCACACTGTTCCTGACACAAGTAATTTTTCCAACAGTTGTTTACAGAGAGATTATTTCACTTATAATTCACTAGATCACAATTCCAGTGGGTCAGAAGTTTACACCCACTCTGTTGACTGGGCCTTTAAACAGCATAGAAAATTCCAGAAAATTATGTCATGGCTTTAGAAGCTTCTGATTGGCTAATTGAGATCATTTCAGTCAGTAGAAGGTGCAGCTGTGGATGTGTTTTGAGGCCTGCCTTTATTTGTATAGCGCCAAATCACAACAAAAGTCATCTAAGGACACTTTACAAAGTAAGGTCTAGACCTTACTGTTATCTATTATTACAGAGGAAAAACCCAACAATTCCCCCTTGAGCAGCACTTGGCAACAGTGGGGAGGAAAAACTCCCTTTAACGGAAGAAACCTCCGACAGACCCCGGCTCTTGGTGGGCGGCCTTCTGCCTCGACCGGTTAGGGTGAGTGGATAGAGGAGAGAAAAAAGAAGAAAAGCAATAAGACACAACAAACAACAACAAAAAATCAAACACTGGTCAGGATGATGTGGCCGGTGACTGCTCATCAGAAACATAGAGCTCCAGAGCCAGGGCAACCTGCAGAAAGGTACAGGGAAAGGGTGGGATTTCTTTGGTTGACTATTTTCCTCTTGCTGGTTTTTCCAGGATCACCAACTCTATCTTTAATAAGGGTTATATGTTGTAAATATAAGTTTTAATAATAGCTAAACATTTTAATGTATAGATCAGCTGTAAACCGATGATATGAAGAGCCTGGCTCAATTATAGGTTGCCAGGCTTTGTCTAGCAGCTTAAATATTGCCTTTAGTAATTGTTTATTAATGCTGTATAAAGTTTAAAGCAACTATTTACAGCCTAATAACTCAGCTATTTTTTCAGTAATTAATGTCTACAAGCAGTGAGGAATTTTGGCTTGGAAATACATTATTAAATCATCCTTTATCTGAGGCTAGGAGAAGATCATTGGTGACTTTCACCAATGCAGTTTCTCTACTATGATGGACTCTAAATCCTGACTGAACAAATCAAATCCTAAAACAAATCATAACCTCCACAAGTCTGATTCATCCTTGGGAGTAGTTTCCAAACACCTGAAGGTTCCACATTCATCTGTATTCAAACAATACTATGCAAGTATAAACACCATGGGACAACACAGTCATCTCACCACTCAGGAAGAAGACACCTTCTGTCTCATTGAGATGAACGTACTTTGGTCTGAACAGTACAAATCAATCCCAGAACAACAGCAAAGGACCTTGTGAAGACACTGGAGGAAACAGGTACCAAAGTCTCTCTATCCACAGTAAAACCAGTCCTGTAGTGACATAACCTGAAAGGCTGCTCAGCAAGGAAGAAGCCACTGGTCCAAGACCGCAGCTGCACACGAGGACAAAGATCTGACTTTTTGGAGAAATGTCCTCTAGTCTGATGTTACAAACTGAACTGTTTGGCCATAATGACCATCATTATGTCTGGAGGAAAAACGGGGGAGGCCTGCAAGCCGAAGAACAGGACAGAGATGACAGCATTGTGTTATGGAGTGCTTCGCTGCAGGAGGGACTGGGGCGCTTCACAAACATAGATGGCATCATGAGGAAGGAAGGTTATGTGGATATGTTGAAGCAACATCTCAAGACATCACCCAGAAAGTTAAAGCATGGTCATAAATGGGTTTTCCAAATTGACAATGACCCCAAGCAGACTTCAAAAATGTGTGCAAAATGTTTTAAGGACAATAAAGTCCAGGTACTGGAGTAGCCTTCACAAAGTCCTGACCTCAATCCAATAGAAAATTTGTGGACAGAACTGAAAAGGCGTGTGTGAGCAAGGAGGCCTCCAAACCTGTCTGAGTTCCACCAGTTCTATCTGGAGGAATGGGCTAAAATTCCAGAAACTTATTGGAAGAAGCTAGTGGAAGGTGTCCTGAAACATTTTACCCAAGTTAAACATTTTAAAGGCAAAGCTACCAAATACTAACTGAGTGTATGTAAACTTGTGGCCCATGGGGAATGTGAGGAAAATTAAAACCTGAATAAATCTTTTTCTGTTATTCTGACATTTCACATTCTTAAAATAAAGCACTGATCCTAACTGACCTAAGACAGTGGTTGTTTATACGATTAAATGTCAGGAGTTGTGGAAAAACTGAGTTTTAATGTATTTGGCTAAGGTGTATGTAAACTTCTGACTTCACTGTAGGCTATTAGAGGTTATATAATTATGAAAATCTCATTGAAAATAATCAGTTTTCTTGTAAGAAATAAAAGCAGTAGACAGTAGGTCCATCCACAAGACTGCAATACATCAGTTTTATGACTATCTCAGACAAGCCAACTTTTCCCCTCTGTCCTCTACCAACCAGGACAAGCTACAGACCCCGAGTAAGAGGGCGTGGGATGGCATCAGAAAGACCCACTCCCCCCCATCCTGGGTGTGGAGGCAGTGGCAGCCTCTCCTCTGGAGCTGCACACAGTGGAGTGGGAGAAGACCAGCGCCACCATTCCTCTGGTGGGCCAGGAGATTATGGACCTGCAAACGGAGGTGTGATCCAGCTTCTGGCCTCGCCACCACAACTCTCTTTTTTTGTCCAGTGCTCTCAGTCAAACAAACAGACACACCACACACTGCCCTGCTCGGAACTTCTGCTCAAAAGCTGAATTAAGCCTACTGCAAGAACGTGAGGGGGAAAGGAGGGTGAGGAGAGAGAAGTGTCACAATACCATAAAATCAGTAGAACCAATTAAAGAGAGAAGGGGAACACAGTGTTTTTCTATGTTGTTTCATTTGATGTTTGGACTGTTTTTGTCAGCCACATACATACTAGTCATCTTGTTGTATATGGTCTCAGATATTGCACTGGCTCACACAGGAGACAGATTGCCAAAGTGGCTGATTCAGCTACTCTATGTGCATTATGTAATAAAAAGCATAGCAACGGTAATCACACAACATTTGTTCAACAATGGTTACAATGTAATTATCATGATTATGTGTCTTTTTTTCCCACTGAGAGTATTGCTGCTTCCGCTCTCTCTTTCTCCTGGCAAACACTGATGTACACAGCTCGAGATGCCTCTGGGTTTGTTTCTTCTTCAACATCAACCTCAAAAAAGGAAACTGAACAAAGGTTTGATGAGGCAGACTACCAATCATGTGCTTTTGTGCCCATCTGTGCTGTTGTCTCCCCCCCCCAGAAACTCACCCCTGTTATTTTGACTCCACCTGGTTCTAATAGGGCAAGGTCAACTCCCTAGAGACAAGAAAGGGGGGTGGGGATAAAAAAAAATTAAAAAATCAAAGATGTTACCATGAGCCAAAGTGGCAGGTTGCCTTCTCATCAGTACATCTCAGAGACAAAAGAGAGCGGGCTGGTGGGCTTTGAGCTTTAATCAGCCCTCAAACTCAGTGCCAGCCATAGATGGACAACATGGCTGTCAGTGTATCCTAAAGGAGCCACAGTCAACAAATACATGCTGTTTGGTGTTCTTGATGTACAAGCAGGCTTGATACAGTACAGTAAATGCAAAATGTGATGGTGCATCAAAGACACTGAGGAAAAAAGGTACTTGTGTCTGTATGCGTGTGTGTGTTGAGCAATGGAAGATGACTAAATGACTAGATCAATACATATATATTATGTACAGTATGGGATGATGATTAAAGGTGGTAATACAGTATATACAAGGCAGAGTGTGAGGGATGGTCACTGCACACAGAGAAAGCACAAGGCTCATCTGGAGTCCTGATGTACAGCATTGTAATTATTTCATCAGAGTTCTACAGAATGGATTTTAGCCTATAAATATCTTTCTTACTGTGCTTGAGGATAGTTGTTCTCATTATTATAAATATGAACATGATTATTCTGATACTGATCCTCCCATCCCCTCCCCCTGTCTTTTCAGGGTACCGAACTATAGAAGTGTTCTGTATCGCAATGTAACAGTGTGTGTTTTGATATCACCGCCAGTCTCTCCCTCAGATCTGTATTTGTCAAAACCCTGACCCCTGCCCTCCAGCATCTGACATCTTAATCTGCACCCCACCCTGCCACCTCTCCTCACTCCCCTTTTGATTTTAATGGGGTCACCTTTTTGTTAATGTACAGTTTTCAGAGCACAAAATGAATGTCTTATTTCTAATAAAAGCATATCTATATAATAAAACAGCACCAGTCCTCTTGATTTCACACATTTAAAGAGTCCATGGCATGCTCGTTTAGCTCATTTAATGTTTAATCTTGGGTACCTCTAGATTAGCTTTGCACCCATCATAACTCCAAATAGTTTGTAATTATTTCAGAATGATAAAACCAGATAGCCTCTTCCTAAAAACAAGAGCAGAGTTTGTGAAAGCGCACAACTACAGTTGCTGGTGTTGTGTGGAAATTTAACGAACCATGACAGCATTAATTAATTTGAATTTCTCCCCCATAGATACATAAACAACGGTATATGTATCGATGAAAAGATGTGTAACACTCGAAACAAAGCAGGTATTGAGAAAGCCCATATTTTAACTGGCATAATGTAGACATAGTAACTTCTCCAACCTTACAACAATTCTCTCTAATGTTATAGAAACAACATATTAACAGACATGCAATGTGTTTTTTTTTAAACTTACCATTAAGTCCCACCGAGTAGTGGAAACATTACTCCCTTTCAATTATTATTTTAATTATGACATCAGGTAACTTGATAACTGAGATGGTATTTCTATGAGAGTCATAATAATGACAAATATTTTATGTAACTCTAACTGGAGAAAGAATGTAAATACATTCTCAATCCGAATGACAGTTTGTTCTGGTAATGTGTAGCTAAATGATAATTGATTTAGGCTGAAAACTGCAGTGCCTCCATGACTCTTAAGAAAAATTATTCTTACATTGCCACAACATGAGTACAGCTGTTTGACAACAGAACTAAGTTACATTCAAGCAATATGTTGTTCAGTTTAACTTTTAGTGGTGTAAATTGCTACATTAGCAAAATATGGTAAATGTGGATAGATTAAAAGCAACCTATTAAGTTTATTAAAACAAGCTGTATCACAGTTCAACACTTTGAACATTACTGCTAAGCAAGATATTTCTTATGTGCAATGGAAACCTTCTTTTAATCTTTATTGAAAATGTTTGATGTTTTACCTGTGTGAGGCAATTATATAGTATGGTCAATGTTAAGGAAAGATTGTGCTTATACTGTACATGCAGCAGGCTTGAGGAAACTTTCTGGTGTTAGCATGAGCAAGCTAACATGAGGACATAGTAGGAGGTTAATAAAACTTAATAAAACACCAGTTAGTGAGAGGGTGCCCACCAGATGACCCCGTAGACTTTCCTTTATTCCTGCCCCCACAGAGAACTTGTTTTGGTGTTAGTGTTAATATAGTTACAGACTCACTGGAATTGGTAATAGTCTTCTTTTGTTAGACCTCTCAGAGGTGACTGCCATTACAAGCCAGTTGGGCCAGATGTTGCTCTGTGGTTGGGTGAGGAAAGAGTTCAGGGATGCTTTAGGTCTGGATAATGGTGTTGCTTATTGTGGGGCTCTAAAGAGACAGTATGGCCCCTCTTTGGGGCCAAATAATGGGTAAACATCAATTAACTTGTGTACTGAGTTTCCATATCAAATAAAATCAAATCAAATTTTATTTGTATAGCACCAAATCACAACAAAAGTCATCTCAGGACACTTTACAAAGTAAGGTCTAGATCTTACTGTTATCACACACACATTCGGTGTGTGAATGTGTGTGTGAATGGGTGAATGGTGTATGATCTCCTATAAAGCGCTTTGGCCAGTGCAACACACTGTGAAAAGCTATATGAATACAGTCCATTTACCATTTACCATCACTATTATTACAGAAGGAAAACCCAACAAATCCCCCTTGAGCAAGCACTTGGCAACAGTGGGGAGGAAAAACTCCCTTTAACGGAAGAAACGTCCAGCAGGCCTTCTGCCTCGACCGGTTAGGGTGAGTGGATAGAGGAGAGAAAAAAGCAACAGGACACAACAAACAATCAAACACTGGTCAGGTTGATGTGGCCGGTGACTGCTCATCAGAAACATAGAGCTCCAGAGCCAGGGCTACCTGCAGAAAGGTACAGGGAGAGAGAGAACACACTACAGGAGAGAGGAGACACAAAGTTAGTGATGTGTGATGGTGGCATATAGAAGCATAGGAAGAGAGGAAAGGGGAAGGGAGGAGAGAAACTCAGAGCATCATGGGGCCCCCCAGCAGCCTAGGCCTATAGCAGCTTAACTAAGGGAAGGCTCAGGGTCACCTGATCCAGCCCTAACTATAAGCTTCAACAAAAAGGGAAGTCTTAAGTCTAATGAATGCCATATGAGTGGCACATGTAATTGTGTATTATTGAATGAAAGCAGCAGAATCATCCGATATGGACACAATTCCTAGGGATACTGAGCTAACTAGTCCTTGCCTTCTTTATGATGGTCCTGATAATGATTGTCCACTTCAAGTCCCGAGAGATTGTGGAGCCCAGGAACTTGTAGGACTCCATGACTGAAACAGTGCTTCTGAGTATGGTGAGATGAGTTCTGGGGAAGTGGGATGATGGTGGAGTGTTTGAAACAGGAGGAAACCACACAAAGCTCTAGTGATGTATTGAAGATCTGCACGAAGATGCGAGCCAACTGGTCAGCGCAGATTTTCAGACAGGAGGGGGTCACACTGTCTGGGCCTGGCACCTTACTGATCTTTTGTTTCCTAAAAAGGCAACACACATCTCTTTCACAGATCCTCAGAGGTGGCGGACTGATGGGGAGACAGGTGGGAGAGGTAGTCCTAGAGCAGGGGTGTCAAACTCAATCGGACAGGGGGCCAAAACTCAAAGCACACTTTAGGCCGTGAGCCGAACAGGATAAACATTTATTGAACAGACTAAAACTAAACGTTTTTTGACATAAATATGAATTGAAACAGACAGGATACAATATGATTCCAAAATAAATAAACTTGAACTTAAAATCAGCAACCATATTTCTGCTAAGGCTTACATTTGCAAACACCTGCTTTTTCTCTGGACACAAGACGTCGCACACTTTCATCATGCTGCTCTTCAGAAACTCTCCCTCGGTAAATGGCCGGGCTGATTTGGCTATCTCCTCTGCCGCAATAAAACTTGCTTTCACTGCAGCTTCACTGTGTGATTTTGCTTTGGTGAAAAAGTCTGCTGTGATGTCAGATTCCTCAATTACAGCCACATTAGCTCCACAAATAAGACACACAGGTTTACCGGCAATGTCAGTAAACATATTGTATACTCAGCCTCCCATCGGTTTTGAAAGGCTCTGTTTTCCGAATCAACTTTTCTCTCAACCATTGTTAGGGACTAGCTTTGACTTGAAATTAGGGTTGTATACATCAACAGATGCTTGATTGATCTGACGTAATTGATGCGGGAATGATCGCAGGTAGCCTATCGTTTGGTAAGGCAGCTGTT